TATACAATTGCTGAGTATAAAGAGATGATTGCACATATGCTTCCAGGTTGGCCTTGGGGACTGCCCCACCCTTGGAGACTTAACCCCTGGGTCATAACTTTGAAATGGTTAATATCCCCACCCCAAAACTATATATACAATTGTTGGGCATAAAGAGACGAATGCAGTCATGATATTAGAATTGATCCCAGGGTCTGCCCCACCCCTGAAGACTTGGCCCCTGGGTCATAACTTTGAAACGGTTGAGATCCCCACCCCAAAACTATATATATACAAATGCTTGGCAAAAAGAGACAAATGCAGTCACAATATTAGAATCGATCCTGGGGTCTGGCCACAACTCTAGGGACCTAGTTTCTGAGTCAAAGCTTGGAAACAGTTGAGATCCCCACTCCATAACAATACATAAAATTTCTGGGCATGAAAAATCTAATATAGCTATGCTACAAGGATTGGCCTTGGAGTCTGGCATATTCCCTTGATCTCATTTGGAGAATAGTTTGCCATAGTTGCTTAGGTATCCAGGTGAGCAATACAGGCCCTCTGGGCCTCTTGTTTATTCAAGGATTAACTTGCATATATTTTTTATGTTATGGAGATATTACATAAAAAATGGAGTGTACTCTAAATAAACCGCAAAGTGGTTTATGATGAGAGTACACTCCGGTTTTTAGGTCACCTGAGTTTTACTCAAGTGACCTATTCTGATCGCTTTAATTTCCGTCCGTCGTCGTGCATATTTTTTTTACATTTTCGACTTCTTCTCAAGAAATAGTGGATAGAATTTTTTCAAACTTGGTGAGAATCATCGTTAGATGAGCTAGATGAGGCTACAAAATTGTAAAATTGGGTTTCCTACCCCAACTCCAGGGGCCAGAGCAAAGTAAAGTTTACTATAGTTTATATAGGGAAATATCACTTTTGGGTATAAATATCACTTTTGGGTATATTTTGTCAATTTTCGGTAGGAAATTATTCTTGCTTAGTGAGAATAATCCATGCAGGAAGATGGTATCAAATTGTAAAATTGGGATTCCTACCCCAACCCCAGGGGCCAGAGCAAGGCTCCAAAGGGAAAATAAACCAATATTTCAAAAATCTTCTTCTCCAAGCTCAGAGGTACTACAGTCAATTTCTCTGCATGGATGGAAAGATCATCAGGGGCTTTGTTAAAATTGTAAATTTCAGTACCCCCCGCTATCCGTTCTCCCTTTGGGAGGGGGTAAAGTTTACAATAGTTTATATAGGGAAATAACACTTTTGGGTAAATTTATCCATTTTCAGCAGGAAATTATTCAAACTTAGTCAAAATTACCTTTGGTGGATGAGTGTATTACATTGTAAAATTGGGATTCCTGGCCAACCCCAGTGTTAGGGCGGTGGGCCCCAATGGGAAAATTTACCAATATTTGAAAATTATCCTTTGATTTCACTTAGTTTACATGTTCATTTTCACATCACATCTCAACAATGAAATTCAGCCACCAGTACCTATAATATAACACTGTGACCGCTAAGGCTCTTGGGCCTATTGTTTGTGTTATAGCTCCATAACATAAAAAATATATTCAAGTTAATCCTTATAAATCAATCTACTATACATAATCCCTGTGGAAATCCACTTTTATTGATGGGCTCTTTTCTCTTGGAAATTGTTAAAATGCTGTACCAGCCAATCAAAAGCGACGTTACAAATGGCGACGTCCCTTTTTACGTTATTGGCTGATTACAATTTTTAGGTCACCTGAGCTTTGCTCAAGTGACCTATTCCAATCACTTTCTGTCCGTCGTCGTGCGTCGTGCGTCGTGCGTCGTGCGTCGTGCGTAAACTTTTTACATTATCAACTTCTTCTCAAGAACCAGTGGATGGAATTTTTTCAAACTTGGTCAGAATCATCCTTGGTAGATGAGGCTACCAAATTGTAAAATTGGGATTCCTACCCAACCCTAGGGGCCAGGGCGGGGCCCAAAAGGGAAAATTAGCCAATATTTCAAAAATCTTCTTCTCCAGACTCAGAGGTATTACAGTTATTTTCTCTGCATGGATGGAAAGATCATGAGGGGCTTTATTTAAATTGTAAATTTCAGGACCCCCGAGCTATCCGTTCTCCCTTTGGGAGGGGGTAAAGTTTACTATAGTTTATATAGGGAAACAACACTTTTGGGTATATTTTGACAATTTTCTGTTGGAAATTATTTTTACTTGGTCAGAATCATCTTTGGTGGATGACGGTATCACATGTAAACTTGGAATTCCTGCCCCATCCCCAGGGGTTAGAGCGGGGACCCAAAGGGAACATTTACAAATATTTTAAAATTCTTATCCTTTGATGACATGACAAGTATTGTATTTCACTTAGTTTACATGCTGATTTCCACATCACATCTAAACAATAAAATAAAGCTACCAGTACCTATGATATAACTCGGGTAACCGCTAAGGCCCTTGGGCCTCTTGTTTTTAAGCCAATTAAAATGATTGTTACCAGCAAGATTAAATTATAAGATTATACCAAGTCTCAAATCTCCCTTTGAAACAGTGGGTGTCTCTAAAATTCTAAATTACCTTAAACTGTTGGTCTGTTCAAAAAGATACAACTACATGTAACCATGGCCTTTTTTACTTCTCAAAATGATGGTAGTCTTCCACCCTTTCTTTTGTTTGATATCATTTCCTTTAATATTCAATTATAGCCTTTGGCTGAGGTCGATACTTGGATTTATCGACCTGAGAAAAGATATATTGACCGAGGATGCAGTTTTACATGTTTAATCTACCCTTTGTTGGCCCCATTGCCCCTACAGTGTTAATGGGCCATTTACAATGTAGTAACTAACTAATAAGTTTATCTCAATCTAACAGATCAATTTTGGCAATATTTTCCAGATCTTTCAGCCAAATGGAAGATTCCTGGGTGTTTTAGCACTGAGTGACCCCCATATTCGTCCTTCAGACATCCACCTCACTCCCGATGGGCGACTCATTATTGTCAACTTCACAAACCATGAAGTCAAAGTGTTCAGGCTCTGTGTGAAGTAACAGAAGGAATAACTCAGAGGCAAAATGACCAGATAAAAAAAACAAGACTGCATACTTCAAATCTCGTGGAAAGAACAAAGCAAATGTGTGAAAACTGATTAAGTGTAAAAACTTTGTGAAGCAAACATATAAGTTTGAGTAATAACAGGTGTGATGTAGGAAATAGCCAAAAAAACTGAAAACAGTTTGGTTGTTGGTAAAAATGAAGTAGACATATAGTGTGAAGTAAGCTTAAATGGAAAAATGAAAAATATTGTGAAACAGATATTTAGTTTGAAAGCTGGTCCATCATAAAATAACTACGTGTATATTGTAAATGACCAGTCAACATTTATTGTATGTTTGTGTTTTACAAAAGATAGAATGTAACATAAATGTTACAGCACTAGGGAAGAAAAATAAATGTTCAAGTGTTTAGGTTTCACACTGGAGTAGTCCTAGGATAAAATAAAGAAGTTCAGAGGGAAAAGTATGACATTTTAATAATAAAATATTACAACCCTTTAAGGGACCAGGATCAAGTACACACGTAGAAGTCCTAATGTGAAGACAAGTGTGGCAGTGTAGAAGTCCTAATGTGAAGTGTGACAGCCCTATAGTAAATGTAGATCTAGATACCATCATGTAATTGGAGTACTTCTAGGATACAGTAATTGAAATCTGAAGAGAGGTTTGGACATCTTAACCCTTTCACCACTGTAGACTGTAATGGACTCATCAATATCAATGCATGGCAGAGTCTACTAAAGTTACATAGGGGTGAGAGGGTTAAGGTGCAGTGTAACGGTTCTGACAATGTGTAACAGTCCTTTTATGAGTGTTATGGTTTCAGTGGAAGTGTAAACAGTCTTTGGGTGAAGTGTTCCAGTCTTTAACAGCTTTAAAGTCTTCTCAGTAAAACAGGAAATTTAAAGTGTACAGTAATTGTCCAAGCTTACCTTACCAAGTCTGGTTAATTAATTGTTATGCCTCTAGATATATAAACTATCATCTTAATATGAAATGTAACAATTGTAAAAAGTCCTAGAGTAAAAGATAACCGTTTAAATGGTAATGATGACAATCCTGGAGTGCACGAGTCTTGAGGGTGAACAAGGTGTTGCAGTGAAACGTACATAGTAAGTCCTTTAGTGAAGTGTTTGTAGCACTAGGGTAAAGAATAATACGTAAAAGTCCCAGTTGAACCATTTAAAAGTCCCAGGTAGAATTATGATGAATATCAAGTTATGGACATACAGTTTATAACTTAACTAATTCACCCCTGAAAAGTGAAAACACATTCGAACCCTTCCAATTCAATGGTTGGAAAAGTTCATTATGAAATTTCAGGGGTGACTGAGTTTCAGTTGACTTGAAAAATCCAAAATTCAGTAATTACTTGTTAAAAAGTTATCAATCATGATTATGAATTTGACTGTGGTCAATATCTACATATTCCTTCGTTGTTATCGGTATAGAGCTATAGATTGATGAATGGAATTGAAAGAAAGTGAATTGATAGAACAACTTGGAGAGATAACCACATCGATATATGTAACTGTGATTGGTGTAATTAGCAAAACATCATTGCAGTCAACTTTTGTGTCACTTGATTACAAAGCAAAATGTTTGGGACTTACTTACATATTTATACATTGTATTTTATAGAATATTTCATGAATTACAATTTTGTTTGTTAACTGAGAAGGCAGAGCATTTCTTCATACATTATATGTATATACATGTAGCGTTGACATTTAGATTGATTTCATTTTATTGATGTAGACATGCTTAATATCCACCCACATGGAAGTTGCAGCCGGATATACATTATTTCAATGTGGCCGTCCATCTCTCTGTACAATCGTGTACTTACAGGTTTCAAACTTGTATGTACTATAGTGCAAGTTTTAAGGCTGTTCAACCAATCTCATTCAATCTGTACAACGGTTGGCCTTGAAGAAAGGATGTTTTGATCCCTTGTTGCAATGTATACTGTACCACTTTCAAGAATTTTCTTGTTTTGTTCAGCTATAAGTTGTTATTTTGGAGTTTATAAAATAAGACAGCTATTTTCAGATATCCCAAACTGCAGATATATGTATACAATTATTTCTTATTTCCTCATCTTGTAATACATTGAAACACTATTTTTGCTATACGTAATAACTTGGTTGATTTTCATTGTGTCTGATGTTGACCTTTCACACTTTATTGATGACCTTTAAACTCATTTAAACATGTAGTCATACTTAGTCATTTGTCCATTTGGATAAAAAGTGTTCATGACAGCTGTAAGAAGTTGTTGATGAAGAAAAGTGATCACTGAGAAATATATCAAACTCCGAATTATGTTGTACATTCCATACACTTGTTAGTTAAATTGATATTGTGCACCAAGATTTCTCCGATGGATTTATAAATATATAGATTTATATGCCAAAACCTGTTAAAACATTAAAACATTTTGTTGTGTTGAAACACAAGGAAAGTGATCGTTTTGTTACACTGGTTCAAGGTTCATTAAATATCTGTAATGTTATATACTTGCTTTTGTTATTTTAATTCATCAGAATAGACAATTATATCATGGTAAGTGCTTTCATCAGTTACTCGGGGTGTATGCAATGGTGACACTCCTTATGAACATGATATGCACACTTTTCAAACTTGAAGCGTTGCAGTTGCAACTCACTATTTGCTTTTTGTAGATTTCATGCATATCTTCCTAAAATGTGGTTCAACAGAGGATGAAATTAGAAGTTCTGAAAATATGTTGATCAACTTCTGTCGACACATGTAATCTCTATATAGTATCAATGCCATGCCATGCGGTTGAATGTTCATCAGTTACTTAATCTTCTTGACTCTGTGCGAAACCTTGGTCCACTCTACACGCACAGTTGCTTTTCCATCGAAAACAAAACTGGATTTGACATGAAGATGATTCGTGGTACACAGAGTATTGATAACCAAATAGTCACCGGTGTTTCATTTGTTCAAATGCTGCCCGAGTTGATACGGAAATTTGTTGAAAAAGATCCCAAAATGAAAAGCTTATATCAAGCTTTGGAGTCCCCATGTTTGTTAAAAAGAAACATCAAACTTAGAGATGGTATTTACACACTTGGTGGCATGAATGATCGAGCTCTCTCTGCTGATGAAACTACAGCTCTACAACCACTTCTATGACAAAGTTTCCCAGATTTACACGAGTGCTACTTCATCAAAATATCATCAATTGACAAGCCTATTCCAGGATGACAAGACGCGATAACTCCACCATTTCCTACACCAACAGTGTAAATCATGAAATGTTTGGTCAAGTGAATTTTTTTGTTCAAATCACTGACCATGACATGTACACATGTCAGACACCATTGGTCTCGTAGAGTAACTTAAAATACAAGATATTCACAAGAGCCTTGCTCAGAAGTCTTGTATATCTGCAGGTTTCCCAATAAAATGGAATCCAATTAGGTAACTTTACAAAGTTGTGAATCTTGTTCCTATCCACCTGAAGCTTGCAATTGCAATACAGTGTACATGTATACCGGTATGTGTCAAAATATGCTAGTTAGCAACTTCTTTTTCATTGTTTGATAATCCAAGAGATAACATATATATGTTGGCCCTCTTAGTATAGGTGTATTGCAAGATAAATATAATAACAGCATATATACCTATTATATTACTTGCTCAACATTTGTGTAACAATTTTTTCCTCAGTGATTTTTAACTTGTCAACCAAAAATATTTTTTCTAGCTAAGAGAAATTTTCTTTACAAAATAACTTGCAATGTTCGCTGGGCATTTATATTTTTAGGTCACCTGAGCTTTAGCTCAAGTGACCTATTGCTATCCGTTTTCGTCCGTCGTCGTCCGTCGTCCGTCGTACGTCGTCCGTCGTCCGTCGTCCGTCGTCCGTCGTCCGTTAACATTTTACATTTCAAACTTAAAGTCAAGTTCTGCTGGGCCGATTGAACTGAAAGTTGATAGGAATGATCGCCTCATGGTCCTGACAAAGTGTTGTTATTTTTCGGGTCGATCAGAAATCCAATATGGCCGCCACGGCCACCATTTTGAAAACCTATTTCAAACTTAAAGTCAAGTTCTGCTGGACCGATTGAACTGAAAGTTGGTAGGAATGATCGCCTCATGGTCCTGACAAAGTGTTGTTATTTTTTGGGTCGATCAGAAATCCAATATGGCCACCACGGCCGCCATTTTGAAAACCTATTTCAAACTTAAAGTCAAGTTCTGCTGGACCGATTGAACTTAAAGTTTGTAGGAATGATCGACTCATGGTCCTGACAAAGTGTTGTTATTTTTCAGGTCAATCATAAATCCAATATGGCCGCCACGGCCACCATTTTGAAAACATATTTCAAACTTAAAGTCAAGTTCTGCTAGGCCGATTGAACTGAAACTTTGTAGGAATGATTGACTCATGGTCCTGACAAAGTGTTGTTATTTTTCAGGTCGATCAGAAATCCAATATGGCCACCACAGCTGCCATTTTGGTAAACTATTTCAAACTTAAAGTAAAGATCTACTTGGCCGATTGAACTGAAACTTTGTAGGAATGATCGAATCATGGTCCTGACAAAGTGTTGTTATTTTTCGGGTCAATCAGAAATACAATTTGGCTGCCATGGCCGCTATTTTGCTACTAAGTTCTAATAGGCCGATCTCACTTAAAATTGGTCTAGGAATGATCAGCTCATGGTCCTGACAAAGTTAAGTTAACATTATACTATTTTTTACTCAAATTGGTACATATTTCAACAACAAAAATAAATACTATAGACTCAGGTGACCGTTAAGGCCCATGGGCCTCTTGTAATTCTTGGATGGCAACATTAAAATTTTGATGAAATTACAAAGATCCTGAGTTTGACACCTGCAGTTTTTCTTTTGTTATTTTTTTTCTCTATTTTCAAGCATTTGAATATAAAAAATAAAAAATAGTTTCTGTAAAATGCATTGAAACAGGTTATTTTTATTGGAAACCCCGCTTGAAAAGGACTTAAATTAATAACTGAAATACACATGTAATGACAATGGTAATGACATTAAACATGTATTTTACCTTGTTGCAATTTGTGTCCATTAAATGGAGCAATTATATGAGGATGAGGCTGAATTAAAAACTTTACAAGTCAGAAGTCCGCTTAACAATTTTAGCTAAGTCTAATAAATCCGCCTTTCATATTTGGTTCTTAGTCAGAGATCCCGCCTTCAATCCGCCAGAAGCAAACCTTGAGGCAGATTCTTAGGTGCACTCCTGCTATATACCAAAGGAGGACTTTAGACGGAATCTTCTGATTTTCCATGTACGCCTTTAATCCGCCATTTGGTCTTCTAAAATAGGCGGATTCTTCCAGGAGTTCTTCATATTTCAAGCGGATTCCAGGCTTAGTCTGCCTATGAGTTTCGTACAGGTCATTTTAACTGTGTGAGTCGTAATGGTTAGAATTGTCACTTCATGATCACCTGAAAACTAGATTCAAGTACAGCCTGGAATTCCTTGCAGATATTTTAAGGAAAATAAGTGAGTTTTTCATATCCATGTTCTAACATCAGTCTTAAACTGGAGATCTTAGAGCTAATTTGGCAAAATCTCTACTTTAGTCTACTTTAGACAGGTTACCAAGTTATCATTCTTAAGACACTAGCTGTTGTGGATTTTAAGCTCCTCTGTACTGAAGGACCAAGGTGAGCTTATGCCCTAACCATGGCATCCATCTGCCAACAATTTCTTAAAAGACTTCTCCTTAATTGCTGATTAGAATTTAGCCAAACTTGACGGGAAGCATCCTTAGATGGTAGGGATTCTTTAAGCAATGAACACATTCACTTTGAAACTGTTGAGATCCCCATCCCATAACCACATATACAGTTGCTGGCATAGAGACAAACTCGCCATAACCATACTGTGATGCTGTATGAACACAGTCATGATATTAGAATTGACGGTTTGGGTCTGCCCACATCCCTAGGGATTTAGCTACTGGTTGATGACTTTAAAATGGTCAAGATCCCCACCCTATAACCATATATATACAATGTATACAGCTGATCGGCACAAAGAGAAACACAATCGTGCTACCAGAATTGGCTTTGAGGTCTGCTCCCACCATTTAAGGACTTAGTCCTTGTGTCATAACTTTGAAACGGTCAAGAGCCCCAACTTTGAACAATATATACAATTACTTCTTTGGTACTGAGCAAGAGGATTTGTGTGGAGACTGGCCTTATCTCTGGGATCCTATTTGCCATACTACATTGATAGAAAATATTTTGCTAGGATTGCTTAAATACAATGTATCCAGGTGAGCGACACAGGCCCTCTGGGATCTTTGTCTTTGAAATTCTTTTCCTTAATTGAAGAGCCTAAGATTAAGTAGAATGTGTTACTTAAATTATAATTAACAAAAAACAAAACAAAATCTGAATTTTTATATTGCATTTAATTACTACATGTCAAGTCTGTAGCTAGAATGACGAACATCAATGTATACAATTATATATATTTAAAGTATATCTCCATTGTAAATAAATCTTTTGCAAACTTTGTAAACAAACAAAATATCACAGTCAGTTAGGTTTATATTATAGAACAGCTTTTAAGTCACATTACAACATAATATGGGTCTGTATAATTTACCATGTATAATAAGTTTTAAGAGATATATGCTACCTTAATTCAAACTTGTGATTTGTATAGTCATAAAATTTCACGAATTTCAGTTGATATGTGCCTTTCATATATGATTATCTTCAATTGAAAAAAATTGAAATCCCACCGGGAATGTGTTAATAGTAAATATGCACTTTTCCTGAATAAAGCCGAGCATGTGCAGTGAACTTACTGATTTTTTACCAGATGCATTTAACAGAATTTTGTATTCAAACAGCCACACCAGAAGCAAAGAAGTTAAATTGTTAGAAAAAGAAATCACAAATAACATTTTCTGGAAAAATCCACGGCAGGTTTCTTTTGTATAAATTTTACATGCACATTAGTTCTAGATAAATTAAGGCAACTCTTACAATGCTGATTATTGTATGGTAAACAGTACTTGTTTTGAACAGTTCAATGTTTTCCACAAAAAAAAGCTGTCCTGTGACCATGCTGTACAAATCCAAATATTTCCATGGTGATGAGGCCAGGACATAGGATAAAGTAGCTCATAGGGCACAGCAGCACTATTTCTTAAACACAAATGTTGGACCAGACGCCTATTTTTCTGTTGGTTTTGGATCAGCCTCTGGTGCCTGCTGTTTGGGATCAGATTCTGACTTTGGCAGTGGGTCATCAACAACCTCCTCTTCTTCCACTGGGATACTTTCGTCTGCTGCACCCACATCAGCAGCCAGTGTGTGTTCCTCAGGGGGATCTGTGATGAACGTTATTATCTGTACTTTTTCTTCAGGTCTTCTACCAGTGACAAGAATTTCATAGGTATTATCCACAATATCTAAGTCATCAATCATTTCATGATACCGCTCATCAAGTCCAGCATAATCATTCCTGGCCTCCCTGTCAATGACGTCACGCTCTTTAATGGCGTCCCTACTAAATGCCCTTATCTCGGAACCGGGCGCCCTACTACTGAGTCGTGATACTCCTTCACCATGCCCAGACTTGGTCGGAGACATGCTCAACTTTTCCTTGTTTGATGGAATATCATTAATTTCTAAATTAGAGGCAAACTTAACAACACTTGCTGGCCGGCCATCTTTTTCTTCTATGCCCTTTTCCTTGTCTGATTCCTCGCCTCCAATTTCGCTGCCCTCCCCCAAACTCTGACTGAGGCTTCCATCGGCCCTCTCTGATATTTTATCCATCCTACTTGATCGTGGCCGGGAAGATTCCCAATCGGACTCCTCATCAACTGTGGACTGTCGTGACTTTAGTCCAGGTGTGGACTCCATCTCCGATGTTGTGTCGGGTGAGGTGCTTGTGTCTTCACGTGACAGTATCTGTTTCAGTTCCTCATCAGCTGTAGGAGTGAGCATTTCACGAGCTGATGTCTCTGGCCCTGATTCATTGACAAGTATGCGAGGATGGGGCGTGGTTGAACGACTACTGGCCTGACTCATAGATGAGCGAATTCTCTGCATCATCGGCTCCTTCTCCTGTTCATGCTCCTATAAATCATGGTGTAAAAATAATCATGCCATTAGCAGATATGTATGTCGGTAAAAAAAAACAAGTTTGACGATATCAAATAAAAAGATCTATGCACTTGATATTAAACAACAGTACCGTAATTGTAAACATTTGATGAATATATAATTTTTCAAGTTTATGCTTACATTTTATCATTGCTTAAATTACAGGTTCATTTGGGGTTTAAAATCATACTAATTCATATTTATTTAAAATCAATATCCTGAAAGAAAAAGTTAAAATTTGAGTTAAAAAAAAGTTTATGATTAGTGTTAGAGTTTAATAATTAAAACAATCTATTTGTTAAAACACTCAATGCCAAAGACTATAATTCTACTTGCAATTATCATTATCATGTGCTTTTCGTAATGATTGGGATAAAAAGCTCGGACAGATGGAAATAAAAGCATGCAGCATAGTTTTGACATAAATTTTACACAAAATGCAACAAACACTAAATAACTTGTATAACTTAAAGATGGGACCAGCAGATAAAACACCCCACACTCAAAGTTAAAACAAATCTTGAAATACATTCTACTTTTATGTTTAGTTCCGTCTTTATCATCAACCTGACTGTTCAATAAATTTAACCATCTAACATCGCTGAGTCAATAAAATGAACTGATTTGCATCAACATATTTAACTTCCATTTGATTTCAGCACCATTAAATGTTGGGCAAAAGTAAAATTGATTCCTGAAAGGAAATGAAAAGTTTGAATGAAGCAATTGATTTTATTTAAGATTCTGTCTAGTATCTGCTAGAACCCATCTGTTTAATATGTCAGGGTCGCACATTTTCAGGGGGACATCTGTACTTACAAATTTAGTCACACTACACAATCTGGAGTATGAGAAACTGTGACTGTGAATTAGTGGGGAGGGGAAGAGTGGTTTCTTGTCATCTACTCTCAGCCTCATCTCCTTATAAGGGTTATGTCTATGGAAGAAATTCTACAGCAGGATGCAGAGAGGAAAGGGTGCCATTAGTGTCAGTAAAATCTTTCCACAGCAAAGTACACACAGGGTTATAAGTGCAAGCTAGCATTCAAGTGAGAGTGATGTATGGTAAATCCAGAATGTTTTGGTGTAGATTGTTGTTTATGCATATTTCAGATGCATTTGGTTGACAAAAAAATCAAATTAATTGACTTATATATGCAGAGCTTTAACTTCATAGGCAGAGCTGTGTTATAAATGAAAATAGGAATAGGGTTAATCATGTATCTGCCTTATTATACAATAATGTATTTGCAATTATCAGAATGCAGATTCTATGATCGTTTTCTTGTTTCACAATATACACCAAAAATTCTAGACTTCCACATTATTATGCAGCATGGATAATGTTAATTGTCACATCAATTCCACGACATTTACATAATGTTAAGAACAAAGCAAACCTGAGATTTATTAAGGAAAAGGGAACCCTCAAACTGAAACATGTTATAACTATTTTCACTGTTATAAAATATCTGAGTACTTTTAAAAGAAGCATTTCATATAAATCACATGTTAGGATCTATTTTACACAATTAGAGTTGTTTGAAATTTTATATTTGAAAATAGAAATTGAAATACAAAAATCAACCAGAGGGCCCATGGGCCTATAAATGGTCACATAAGTGAAATTATGGATAATTATACACATTGTGTAAGTATATCTTAAAACCCTAGTGGGACAATCAGATGTCCTCAAATGTAAAGTGCGCAAAGAATCATTCTACAAAAAATATTTACATATTATAGTTTCTGGAGTTTTCCTGTGACGACTCGGGGAAGCATACTCCCCTGGTAGTAAAAGGATTTGAGTATTAGTGACTTTGGGTAACATGGGGACACCAAATTAGTAGGATGTAAGACTAATAGCACTATACTACCACACAATGCTGAACATTCTCAGAAACAAAAGCTAACACACAGCAGAGGAAATTCTAGCAATGCACAGTATCGGCAGACATTTTGTGTGTTACCTTAAGCTCTTTCTCCGATTCATAGATCATTCGAGCCAGGTTTTCACGTTTGGTGTCGTCTTTCTCTTTGATGGTGATCTGTGCAGCAATATTATTGCGTGTGCAAAGTTTGCGGACTTCATTCTTGATCTGGGCCACCATGTCCATATCCTCTGTGGCATTAATTCCAAACATCTCCAGAGTCTTAGCAATCTCGCTGGAAATATGCAATCATGAGGTTATATGAGTATTGCCTAAAATGGGCAGCTGGAAGGGCTGGGAAGGGCTGGAAGGGCTGGGAAGGGCTGGGAAGGGCTGGGAAGGGCTGGAAGTTGTTACATGGTGCATGAGTGTCTGTGTCTCCTTTCTTAATCTTATCACAACATTGAATTGTCAGAACCCCAGTGGCTACTGGACATGGCAACATTAAAAGTACCATCATCAAAACACCAAATCTTTGCATCTTGTCTTACTGAGTTCAAACATTTCCATACATATAAATATTTACACTCTGTATGCTTAGACCCATTGACAAAAATTACATTCAAAAATGCATAACACAGGTGTTCATAGAATCTCAGCACGTGGGAACTNATATTTACATTCTGTATGCTTAGACCCATTGACAAAAATTACATTCATAAATGCATAACACAGGTGTTCATAGAATCTCAGCACGTGGGAACTGATAGTAACCTGATCACACTGCGTAGTAATACACTACAAAAACTACTCACTCGGAACGACCGACCTAGATGCTTAATTCTTACATCTTAAAATATTATTGAACTGTGCTTTGTGAAATATCCACGTATTCACGTGTCCTGTGCTACAAATAAACATTGAATATGGAACTACATTTTGTTGTGTTATTGTTGTTGACGGTTGCTAAGATCTCTCACGATAGTGTCACATTTCCCCGCGAAAAAACACTGTTCTCGCCACTGCGTTGCACCCGTGTATAAGCAGGAACAAACCCTGTTTATTTGTTTTATTCGTTGTTATATCGATCCACTGAAAGGATTCGTCAATGTAAATATAAGGAATGATATTTATTTTTTCAACATTTATGAGGTCATAACAACAATGGGTTTTTGGACATATTTTACCTGAATCGCTAACGCGATTCATTCAATATGTCCATAAACCCATTGTTGTTATGACCTCATAAATGTTGAAAAAATAAAAATCATTCCTTAAGTAAAGTTTTTTCTTGGTCTCCTGACCCATAGACTTGGAGTTTAACCCATTTAATAGTGGCAGCTGAACGTTGATGACTTCCACGTAGAAGGAAGCTATTTTTTGCAGGGTTACTTCATAGCAAGTTGTTACCCATTGATACAGTTGGGTAGACTGTAACAATTACGATAGTGTGCCTTATGCAAGGACACAACAGCTGTGAGTGACTGTTTTCAGTGTGATAATAACACTAGGTCAACACACTCGCCATCTGTGTTATGCTGCCCCTTTTCAATCTCCTTTTTCTATATTTAATAATTAACTGTATTTACCTCTTTTCTTTATTGCCAATCAGTTATATATTTTGTGCAGCTGGCCATCAGATTTCTATAAGGCTCTTGTTTTATTTACTTACTCTCTAACAACATCGCTGGACTCCACCAGGAAGCGTTCCTGTAGAACCTCTGCGACCTCTGGGGTCTTCAGCTCTAGGCACATGAGAGTGTGACAAGCTTCAGCCCTTACTGCAGCGTTTTCCTCATACCTCACAGCCCACAGTAATGTCTCTGTGATCTCCTCTGTTACAACTCCTATCTTACCAAAGGCTGCAAAACAGAAAATATTACATCTTAACTATCTTACCAATTATAAATGGAAAAAAGAAATTGACACAACACCTGTTACATTGTATCAGTGGGCTTCAGCAAAGCAAATGTAAACGTTACACAAATCTCACCCAGGGCTGCAAAACAGCAAATCTATCATTACAAATATCTCACTCAGTGCTGCAAAATAGAATCTAAAACTATTCTAAATCTATTGTTTCACTTTGTTTGCTAAATGTGATGAGTTCAGCAAGCTTTAGATTATTTAGGCAAGGTTAATGGATAATCTAAACTGAAATGATAAGAGATTATAACCTCATCAAATTTATTCAAGAAGCAAGCAACAAACAACATCACAGTTACCCACCCTGTATAGCCAAGGCCTTGACCTTCCAAATGGTTTCAAACGTGGATAGTTTGAGGAGTTGTTCTAGCACTAACTCGTCCTTGATCTCCAGGTTACCACATGTGATGCACACTTCAGACCGTATGGACACATACTCATCCTTAAAGCTTTTCAGGAATACTGGCAATAATTTGGCTGTCATTATACCTGTGCAAAAAATAAAAATTTTCATAATAGGGTTAACACACTTATCAGCACTATCAAAATTTAGTAAGTGAAAACTTACTATATCTACACACCTTGAGTGCAGCGATGAATCCATGCATCAACATCCTCCCGGACACTTTTCCGCCTAAATCAATTTAATCTGCTTCTGACTACTATGTACAGTTGTCTCAAAATATTGAGTGGTTCAAACTATTTTGCTCTTTGACCCCATACTGTGACCTAACCTTTGAAAGTACAGACCTGATAGATGAGACTTGTTAAGCCTCCCAGTCATGATGCAAACTTTCAAGGAATTTTTGTAAAAAGAGAAGAGCTATGGCTCAGACATGTATTACGTTGATTTGAAACTTAACATGTTGATGTGACCTTGACCTTCAGGTATGGGTCAAAAAAATAAAATTGCATTGTCCATTCATATGATAAATCCATGCCTTTAAACCAGTATATCCAACTATTATATAGAAAAATACTGCCCACAACTCACCGAGCTGTCCGATCTTGTTGATGGCCTCAAGACGTGTCATCTCGTCGCCTGTGAGGAGGCGGTTACACATATCGTCGTGGACCTCTTTGCCGTGGCTGGTCTTACCCAGACACTGGGCCGCTGATTTACGTACATCTTCATGCCAATCATTCCACATCAGGTCAGCCAACTTGTTAGTGATATCCTGTACAAAGTGTATTGTATAATCCTATTACTAATATCTCAGATTACTTCTGTATTAGTTACTCCAACAATGTTCGGAGGTTTGACACAGCCAGACACTTTTGACAGTCATATTGAAACAGTCAGCATGCATGATAACAGTAACAAGGTCGTCTGAAAATAGTCTCTTAACAGCGGTGGAAGGAGAAAGGAAATGAATGCGGAGCGGGCTCACGAACTGACAGCAAATTGGCGCCTCTTGTGTCATAGGAGCCTAACAATTTATGACTTATTCATACATGACCAAAGACATATACATTAAAGTGAATCATATTGTCCATGCAAAACATTACAAAAAAGGTCTGTTTGTAAATAAAGTGTGCACAAAATAATGACAGTATCTTATTTATTCAGTAATCTGGGAATTACATATACAATGTTAAGTATCATTATCCTGTCATTACTCTCTTAACTTCGTCATTATACACCAGTGGCCCAAATTTAGTAATTGTTCCAGAGACCATTACGTCTGTAAAACATAATTTTTTTAAAATATCCCACTGATGTTAAATGGGACACGAGGAAGTGTCCAGGTGATGTACTGACCTTGTTGATGGTACCGCTGAGAGTGGGTAAGATCTTACAGGCGATCACTTTGTGTCTCCAGCTACTGCTGTTGAGCTGCTCCGCCACCATACCATGGACCAGGGGCTGCCAACAAACACAACAAAGGTTGCAATTTTAACTTTAAAAAACTCCAGTTGTATTTTAATATTTAAATTTAGAATGTGTATCAAGAGTTAATTTCACCTAAAACGTCATTGCAGAGAACCTTGTAAAGTTAGACACCACCATGAGATTTTTATTGATACCATATTGCAAATATCAGCAATTATAATAAAAGTTTTAAAACGTACCGAGAACAAACTGAGCTTGCCAAGCAGAAAAATGGCCTTTTCATGTTTGATTGTATCCTCTGTGATGAGGAGTTGGTGGATTACCTCCCCTACCACCAGGGAGTTACAAACACCAAAGTGAGCCAGACACTGGGCAGCCGCCCAGCGATCAACCAAGTTCTCACTCTCCAGGGCAATGTGCAAAATTACTTTAGCCTGAAAAAGACAAAACGGTGCAGTGAGAAAGATCCATCTCCATGTCCTACTTGTCACCAAAATCAAGAACTATATAATATATATATAGGTATATACCTTTTGAAAACTCAAGTGTCTTCAAAAACTTCAGCACCATTTCATGATAATTCATTTTGACATCATTAAATTTGCATTGTTTCAGATAAATACCATGCCAGCTCAGGTGAAAAAATAATGATGATTTGATCATGCTTCTTACCCAGAGTATAAAAGGGAGAAACTGATAACACTAATTAATTAGTATAAAAAAAATCAAATGTCTGAACATATATGTCAAAAAAAATCATAATCAGAAAAACATAATATTCTGTTAATTTACAAATATGATCCGTCTTTCACAATCCTAAGTAACAATAATAAAATATATTTGTGCCTTTATTTAAAGTCACATTATATTAAGCTCTTAGCAATCATTAATTCCACAGTCTCTTAAAATATTACCTTATCAGACGGCCTGTTAAGGGAGTACAGTGTAATGGCTGCAGCAATCTGGACATGCTGCTCAGCATCTTCCAACAAACATTCCAACGCCACGTACAGACGTTCTGGAATCTCCCCGTCGCCTAACGGGAAGTTAAACTGGTTTTCTTGAGGTGCATACTCAAAGTCATCCCTGTTCGCGTTAGCTCGTTGCATCTCTGCTGCCTTGGCAATGGTTGCTATGGATTTAAGTCGGACGTGTGTTTGGATGTCAGCCATGTCTTTGATGAGGTCATCCGTAGTACTGTCCGCCAATTGACCACTCAGATGCCACTTAGCTCTCCATTCATCGACTGATAAAGGAAAGGTTGGATTAATCAAAGTTAATATCTAACAGTATACAGTTGGTAACCTACGATACCTAAAAGTTAATATTTAACAGTATACAGTTGGTAACCTACGATACCTAAAAGTTAATATTTAACAGTATACAGTTGGTAACCTAGGATACCTAAAAGTTAATATTTAACAGTATACAGTTGGTAACCTAGGATACCTAAAAGTTAATATTTAACAGTATACAGTTGGTAACCTAGGATACCTAAAAGTTAATATTTAACAGTATACAGTTGGTAACCTAGGATACCTAAAAGTTAATATTTAACAGTATACAGTTGGTAACCTAGGATACCTAAAAGTTAATGTTTAACAGTATACAGTTGGTAACCTAGGATACCTAAAAGTTAATGTTTAACAGTATACGGTTGGTAACCTAGGATACCTAAAAGTTAATGTTTAACAGTATACAGTTGGTAACCTAGGATACCTAAAAGTTAATATTTAACAGTATACAGTTGGTAACCTAGGATACCTAAAAGTTAATATTTAACAGTATACAGTTGGTAACCTAGGATACCTAAAAGTTAATGTTTAACAGTATACAGTTGGTAACCTAGGATACCTAAAAGTTAATGTTTAACAGTATACGGTTGGTAACCTAGGATACCTAAAAGTTAATGTTTAACAGAATACAGTTGGTAACCTAGGATACCTAAAAGTTAATATTTAACAGTAAACAGTTGGTAACCTAGGATACCTAAACGTTAATATTTAACAGTATACAGTTGGTAGCCTAGGATACCTAAAAGTTAATATTTAACAGTATACAGTTGGTAAGCTAGGATACCTAAAAGTTAATATTTAACAGTATACAGTTGGTAGCCTATGATACCTTAAAGTTAATATTTAACAGTATACAGTTGTTAGCCTATGATACCTTAAAGTTAATATTTAACAGTATACAGTTGGTAACCTAGGATACCTAAAAGTTAATATTTAACAGAATACAGTTGGTAGCCTACGATACCTTAAAGTTAATATTTAACAGTATACAGTTGGTAACAGGAAATGGAGACGTTATATATATGAGGAAGTTAGTAAGTAAAGAGTGTCACCACTACCTACTACCTTTGCTCAGATCTGTTGCTTTATAGACATCTAAGCATTTTATGTTGTACCTCTAAGAAAAACAATTTCTGTTCAGTATTTTGCTGGCTAATAAAAATGAATTGTCCATTTTTAGAGATTTGGATTAATACTTACTGACTTGTGTGAGAGCCTGGTTATTCCTGGTGATCCTCCGGGTGGTGGGGTCGGGTGACCTGTGGTACTCGGGGTCATACCCAGGGGGCACTATACGGCCGTCCAGGTCCTGTTGTGGTAGTCATATCATGATGATGACATTTTTTAAAACTTATGGTAGAAATATATTACATATGCAACGTACATAGAAAAACCATTTTTCTTACCTCATTTACATTCACTTAATTGATTTCTCAGGTTCGAATTTTTGTTTAAAAAACAGAGAATAAACTTGTTTCTAATCATGAATCATACCTGGTAAATGTATTTACAGCCTTGCAGTCGCTTCATTTTAAACATAATTGTTAAAAACAATTATTATAAAGTGGAAACACACAGCTTTCTGCATTACACAGAAGTCAGGTGTTATGAACTATACACATGTATATAATACATGTATATTAAGTTTGCTTATAGGTCATTCCTAAACTTTACTGTCAATTTCCTGATCATTGCATTTGATTATTATAGTTAAGTGATAGCAAGCAACTGATATTTACCTCAAAGTGTATTGCCTTCAACATAACCAAGTTGGGATTGTATTCTGTGAGCATATATCGTATAGATGGAGAATTAGAGAATTAGTGACCTTTACAATAAGGCCTGATTGTAAAATAGATCCACCAAACAAAAACCTACATCTGTTTCCACTGGCAGTTTGTGCCATCGCTGCAGACCTCTCTCCACCTTCTTGACACTTGGCTTGTTAACGCTGTACTTTTCCTGGTCGGTTTCAGGGTACCAGTCCTCGGGAGGATTAGGGTACTGGTTCTGTAGCTGTTTACGATACCGATTCTGCGTGCTCATATAAATTTCTGTGTTGTCTCCTTTCATCTCATGGATTTGTTCAGCACCTGTAACAAGATATACATGCATGTACGTACAACTATGATGAACTTTATACCTTAATTATAATTGTTTTATACCATTCAATTTCACTTTATTTATGGTCAAGGAAAATCAAATTTGTAGTCTCGTTAACGTTTAATACAGCTAGCAGTGGCACCTACCAGTAAGCCATCAGTCTTGTTAATGTTTATTATAGCTAGCAGTGGCACTTACCAGTAAGCCATCAGTCTTGTTAACGTTTAATATAGCTAGCAGTGGCACTTACCAGTAATAAGCCATCAGTCTCGTTAACGTTTAATACAGCTAGCAGTGGCACCTACCAGTAAGCCATCAGTCTCGTTAACGTTTAATATAGCTAGCAGTGGCACCTACCAGTAAGCCATTAGTCTCTTTAACGTTTAATATAGCTAGCAGTGGCACCTACCAGTAAGCCATCAGTCTCGTTAACGTTTAATATAGCTAGCAGTGGCACCTACCAGTAATTAGCCATCAGTCTCGTTAACGTTTAATATAGCTAGCAGTGGCACGTACCAGTAAGCCATCAGTCTCGTTAACATTTAATACAGCTAGCAGTGGCACTTACCAGTAAGCCATCAGTCTCTTTAATGTTTAATACAGCTAGCAGTGGCACCTACCAGTAAGCCATCAGTCTCGTTAACGTTTAATATAGCTAGCATTGGCACCTACCAGTAATTAGCCATCAGTCTCGTTAAAGTTTAATATAGCTAGCAGTGGCTCCTACCAGTAAGCCATCAGGCTCGTTAACATTTAATACAGCTAGCAGTGGCCCCTACAAGTAAGCCATCAGCCTCGTTAACGTTTAATACAGCTAGCAGTGGCACCTACCAGTAAGCCATTCCTGTTCAAACATGTTGTCTGTATCAAAGAGTTTGTCGCCAACCGCAGGATTGACGTGGTCACGAAGCGTTGGCAGCGGAGGCGGGGTGTACGACTTGATTGTGATGTCTGCAGTAGCATTAATTGCACCTGGTGGAAAGTAAACAAAAGGTTTTAGTCCAATTCTTAGGTTCCAGAGCAGTTTAAACTTTGTCTTGAACACTTACGTGGCATTGTAATTACTAGAATTTGATGAAAATTGATTGAATTGTCTGCGTATGTCATTAGAGGTAGCTGAACAATAACTTTTGAACTCGTTAAATGTTCCTAATCTTCCTATACTGGGTGCCAAGACAACTTCCAATTTCAACTCCCAAGGTTATAGGTCAAATTTGATTTTTTTTCAAAAGCTATATATGGGATATAGTATAGTCAGTATGCAGCTCTTCTTTAACCATTAAACTTGTTGTTTTAAAGATGTCACTCAGAAACCTGAGCATCAATAAACAACCCTGCCGTACAAACTGAGACTGGAGTATATGTCATGCCATCAAAATAAAAGATTTCAAAAAATAAAATGTAAGTATAAATTGACAAGTATCATTACTTGTATCTAAGTTATAACTATCTGAAAATGAAACAGGTCATGGCAATTAATATCATATATAAATACTGAGAAAAACTTTGGCAAGACAGTGCAAATAGCAAAACATATCTTCATTTCTATTTCCTGTTCTGACTTGTATTTGATTATTTTACTAAGTAATCATTAACATGATTTAGATATCAAATTGACTAAACTTGACCTCTTGAGGGGACAAAAAGTCCAAATATGGATAATCGTTATGGGTCCAACACAATTATACCTATAATGACACTATGATATGTATGTCTGTAACATATACTATTATACTGCTCTTTACCAAAGGAGTCTAAAGTAACTACAGGTACGAGGCCACACCAAATCATTTAGTTTTGTATTGACGACATTGTAGAAGTTTTTAGTAGTTTACATTTATATGCTAGTCAACAATTTCATAAAGTTTGTTTAAATGATTGATCATGCCTTGCTATTTATGTTTTCTTTAATTCTTGTTTTTAATCAATTCTGGAAAAAAAAATGATTGACTCATAATCAATTTTCTGTCACAAATACAATATCTGTTGTAAATATTTCTTTATAATTTTTAGAAGGAATTACCAAAACAAAATCTCACTTTGGAATTATAACCGTTCAGATTAATTTGGTGTGACCTTAGAATGAATGATTAGGGAAGGCTTTAACCAAACCCAGGGTACAGAGTAGAACTGCAGCATTGATAGAAGGGCCACTGAGCATGAGAACCAATCCAGAAACACATCTGTTCTTGTTAAAGTCATATAGCTACAATGGAAATATACAATGTACAAATGTATCACCTGGATGATTTTAATCATTCTGAAATATCTTCTTTTTTTGACAGTTGATGTCACTCTTAATCTACATAGACATTTGTCCTCAAAATTTGCAAACAAATATATATATAAAAAAAAAAAATCAATAAAATGGATATGTGGAACTTATGTGTCTGTAATATTTTTTCTTTTTAATTTTAAGAGGGATTTTAACAGTGTTTAGCCTTCTGTTTAATTACATTTGATACACTTCATGTATATGAAGATTCAATAGTAAAGATTTTAAACAAAAATGTCACATTCTTTCTATATATATCTGGCCTGGTAATTCAAAACTTCTGATAAGTTTTAGTTTATAACTCTGGTTACCTTAACATCAACTGAAAACAATATTTCATCTTATACAGTATACTATACAAACGACATACTAGAATTCAGACCTAATTAAGCCTGCATGTACAAGCCCATAAAAAGAAAAATACAAAAATTGTATGTAAAACTTCAAATTATATTATATGATAGGTTGAAGTTTTTATATATTATAATTGTGACGACTCTTAAACATAGCTATATATATAGGCTGTTCTATCTTCAAACAACCAGACCCAGGTTCAAAGTGAAATAGCTTCAATGACCGGTGATCTGTATACATATTATATATAATATACAATATCAAGTGACATGTTATGATGAGTATATATCTCCAGTATTTAAAGCATTAAGCAGAATGCGTGAGTGATCTTACTACCAAGCTCTGCAGATATCAAGATCATTCTAGAATGCTCTGAACTCTCGGGAGAAAAAAAAAGAAAACAAACAGCTTATGTTTGAAGCTTAAATTAAATTTGTTTGAAAAACAGCAAATGAAGAAGATTAAGAAAAAAGGTCACTGATTGATTGATTGATTGATTGATTGATTGATTGAGTGAGCGATTTTACGTCCATTTCACTACAAATAGAAAAAAGAATTCACTCTGACCTAGCTGAGACGTATGCTTAGTTACTGGGTTTATACGGCTCAGCTCTGACAGTACATTTGTAGTTCAGTACTTAAAGCTACGGTTTTCATGTTTATGACACTCCGTTAAAAAGTTGACATCATTTGAGATACATTTTTTGTGCAAGTATGATTGTGATATTGACACAGCCAGTAGTACAGTAGTTACTGTTACAACTGTAATGCTTCTATCATACGCCGCGTAATGACCAGTACCCCACCCTGTATTAGGCACGGGATATAGTCCCTTGGTATACATATATACATATATATATCTGTATTATCACATGTACTGTGTATACATGTATATTGTCCTTACATACCAGTGCATATAATCCAATGCAATGATATATATTAACAATCATTTGACACATAAGATAAAATGTATTTTGACACATTTCATAAACGTAAAACGGAATATTTTTGTGGTTGATACTTTTCCTGCAATTTCTTTTGTAGTTGTGATAGCATATTTATTTTAAACATACATATTATTTCAGATACAGTAAACTTAGATATACGTGTTGTTTTATTTGCTACCTCACTAATACTGTCTGTATATTTTAAGGTTCAATTTTGTTTCTTTATAATTCCTGCATACATTGCTTTCTTAAATACATTACAAACTCTTAAAAATACCAAAATTTTGTAAAAACCAAATAGTGACATTTTTAACATGAGGTTTAACAGTACTCGGTACATCAATTTCAGCATTTTTCAATACATTAATTGGATACTTCATATCCTGACCAAATATGGATACATGCATTGAAGCATGCTATTTTTACTATGTATAATTAATCTACATCCAGTATAGTCAAACCACAAAGTAAAATCCTCAAACAAGAATATTCACTTTTACAGAATTTGATGAATTGAAACATTTTAAACACATGCAACAAACAGTTTTCTACCAAGTTAATTTCTACAGCAATCACAAATTTACAAGTAATGATACAAACAGACAAATATGATTTACACGAACATTATCAATACTTTCCAAACATTTACAGGACACTGTACTTTTACCAAAATGGTTTTTGACTATTATTGATCATGATTCTTACTTCTTATCCATCTAGCGTTTGAATTTTTCAGATATAACTGTTTAATACATTTTTACCAGTAAAATATCAGGGATTATCCATTTGATGAAATCGTATATCCTCACTGCACTGACGATATTCAAAATGTTATATCTTCACAAGTGAAAATATCACTTTTAGTATTTTTCAATTAGCAGGTAATTTATATTCACTGCATAGAAATTTCAGTTTCAAGTTCAGATGAAGCGACTGCAGAGTAAGTGGTTGGTTTGTTCCACTTTTGCAACATACATTATGGTATTTACATAACTATACAATTGATATCATTTTTCTTTGGAAATTTTACCAGATAATAGCAGCAGTTAAATGACAGAATTGCTTGGGAGTATAACTCGACATTCAAAATGGCGCTAGATTTCATCCTTGACATCAGGCGTGACATCATTAGAACCCGGCATCAAATATTACGCTACTAGTTCCCACACTTTTCTGCATGATACAGCAATAAATTTGGTTGTGTTACTTTAAAAATGTAATAAATAGAAAACTAATGTTTTTCCCGTTAGATACCATATATTTTTCACTACTATGGTAGAATATATACCGATATTTTCACTCGTGCTCTGCATGCACTTGTGAAGAATATTGATATTCTGCAATACCCATTAAATAAATATACAAGGTATTCAATAGGAAACCATTAAATATTAAAAATGTATATACATGCTTTTGTGAATGTTTTTTGTTGTAAATTTACATAAAACTGTTACATTATACCACTATATAGGACTGACAGCATGTAACACAGACAAGAACATAAATGTTACTACAGAATTACTTTTAATGTTTAATCATGGTCTGGGCCTCCAGTAAGCGAAAGGTACTATTTCAGGACATTTTTATGGTTTTTATTTTGTGTGATCTGTAGACTTGATATGTCCAGAATGATGAGTTAATCACTAATGTATTATATGGCGCAACCTGATGAAACTCGTAGACTTAAAGATTATCTTTCCAATAGATCTCCCTATTATCTTTATCACATATCCAATTCCAAAGACTGTCCTAAACATTTCAACTTCTATACATTCTAAATAAAAATATTTCAAGTATAGAAAGATATGAAATTTTTATGCAATTTTCATGTTTTTGTTTGTTTTAATTTTTAGGTATACAAACAACATGTATTGTGTTGGATATCCCAGACCATGATGTCAGAACATTAAAGAAACATGTTGGGATTCTTCTTTAACAGTCTCTATTTAAGATTGTACAGATTACGGGGACATCACATTACTTTTTCTGACAGCGACAAACAGGACCTACCGGTAACTATGTGAGACTCTACTCTCAATCCTGATCTACAAGCTTAAAACCTTACACACGCAACACTCCACAGGCATTTAAACCAGTTACCTTTTTGTCCTATAACTAGAACCAAAAGAAAAGAAAAAGGAAAATGTAAAATGAAAAAGTGACACTCATGAGAAATCTTGATTAACCTCTTCTTGTAAAGTGGATAACCTCTGTATCAAATGTTTGATTTAAGTGTTCAAGTTTCTGTAAACAAAAATATATAAGTCTCTTAAAAAGCTTAAAGATAAAATAAATACACTGTGCATTTTCAAAACATGAAATGACTGTAAATAAACCTCTGTATCAGATTAATTGGCGACCAGTATAGGTGCAACACATATTCCAGTGGTTAAATCTAAAACAATATTTTCCTTGATTGGCAAATTATACATGTAAAACTATAGACACCAATGACCTTTAAAAGTGCATCTTTTGACTTCTTTAAACAAAATTGTGGGAATGTCATTACAGGGGGAAATGATACATTGTAGGTTTACTACGGTAGTTATATACATTCCTTTATCTCTGGAACCTACCAGTCCTAATTGTTGAAGATATGTTATTTGTCTTTTTAAATGGCACCTCTCCTCTGTCTAACCCTACCTCAGTACGTGGTATGTAAAAATACATATCGTATATGAACTCAGTAACATCATATACAATGATACATGTGGAAATATATTTTTTATCTGGCCTTAATGCTAATATACAATTTAATTGACATCACAGACATCTTTCGTTGAACCTCGATCAAAACAGTGTCTCAAAAAATTCAATATTTTATAACTGGAAAGCAATCCTCTGCGTCAAAGGTTAAATCTTACATTTGATCTAAGTATAAATAGGTATGATTGATGAATACAGATCTAATCTACTGAAATGACTGCCTTATGATTATGATTATGATATATACATATTTTTAATCCCGTATTTACAATCTCATCCTCTTAAGAAAAAATGGTAATAAATTGAGTATATCTTTAGTAACATGTATGAGCTATCAAATATCAACATGCATCATGATCATTAAAATACACCAAGAATATTATATACAAATGTATATATGGTCATGTTACTCCGACTGTATAATAAGACACATGCAAATTGTTATCACATGCTGAACTTTTCTTATTCATGAATGGCGGTACAGTCATGCAATTGTAAAACTTGACAAGTTGAGTACTAACAAGGGAAAAAATATTATAATAGTATTAATACAGCAGAACGAACCCTAGAGAAGACTAGCGGCTGTAATAATGTCAGTATACAGAGTATTTTGTGAGAGCTTTCTGTTTGATATTAGAACAGTGAAACCTGTCTAATCTGACCAATAAATATTACGACATCAACCATGTATGTCAATATAATCTAACATAATGATTTTATCCCATTTTTTACACAAAACAACCCCAATAAGACCTGTATATTCTGACACCCTGTCTTAACTGACCATTGACAAATACATCATGTCCCACAGTGTCTAGTTTAGACAGGTTTCACTATACATCATGTGCTGTTTAATAATTTTCATTACCATTTAAGTCAAATACAGCTGAAACAGAAATCTCATCATACATATGTTTGTCAGTGAATTTTCATATATTGCGATTTTTAAACCAGGCTGTCTTTCATTAAATTACAATGGGACATTTAATTTCTGCATTTCAACAATGTATGCTGAGCAGTGTGTCTATCAGTGTTTTGAGCAGGTGATTTATACACAACAGTACACTGTAACTTGCTACTAACATAGCAGGTCTGATTTAAATTAGAGGCAAATTCAATACAGGGTAGAATATTCTGAATTTTTAGCATGAGAGGAACATGGCTTAAACCAGCCTGATAATTAAAATCAAGAAATCCATCATATCATCAATTCATTTGTGCACACAAATCAATGTATATATACCTGCATCCTCTTTCTCCTGCATTTTCTTGACACGCCGTATGCCTGCTGGCTGTCTGTAGAACGGAGCTTTGTTTTCCTCTGAATACGGGTCATTGGCTTCAGGCTTGGCACTTTCAATGTTGTAAACCTTTGCCAGCAAGCTGAAATACACAAGTACCTATATGATAAGCTCAAAAGAATTGGAAACATTTTCACTGCAGTGATATTGACAAACAGATAATTATGTCAACTGAAAACTTTACACATCACAAATTTACTGTGACCCACTTATTTTTCTGCATACTTTATTTTGTGAACTATATCTGTATAGGTTTTGTTCACAAAATACTGTGATTGACAGAAGGCTATTGCAAAATCGATGGTAATGGAATTGATATTCATAAAAGATTTTAATTAACAACTGAGTTGCCTCATGAATTAACAATAAAATGAATTAATCTCTGAAATGTAATGTGATTATTCATGGTAGTGAAATCAACCACTATTGGAAACTCTAACTTACGTTGCTTCTTTTTTCTTCCATTTCTTTTTTGGTTTGACGTCATCACCCTTTTCCTCTTTTTCTGCGGCATTCATCGCCTCTCTGAGGAACTCACTGTGGTCTGGCTTCCCGTACCACCCCTCATACATGGCTTGCATCTTTTCTTTATCTTCAGCTGTCTTCATCCTCTCATATACAAGCCAGCTTGCTGATGATTTGCTAATCTCTGACAAAACAAAACCATCCCAATCAAAGTCTTTCTCTTCCAGAATAGGAATATCTGGTAATTCTACAAGCTTTTTTTTCTCAGACTTTGTCGGGCTAGGTGCTTCTGGCAATTCTTCTATTTTTTCAATGTCTGGTTTAGATGTCAAAACTGGTGTTTCCTTTCTGCTGTCTTTTCTACTTGATAGTGGTTTCTCAACCTCCTTTCGACCAGAAACTGGTTTTCTTTCTTTCTTCTTCAGTTCTTTGTCTGATTTCACTTCAGTCATGAAAAAACCACCTAAATCTTCCTGACTGCCCCTCAAAATTTGATCAAACTGTTGTTCTTCAAGTGCAGCTTTCCTCAACGCATCTTTGTGCATTTGCATGGCTTTTTCCATGATCTTCCTTTTGAGTGGTTTTAACTGTGGCTTAGTGGAGACAGTGAGATTGCAGGGCATGTGACGTCTGTCAGTGTTTCTTGCATCATGTCTCCCCGGAGGTATCTTCATTTTAGGTCTTGGTGCAACCAGATCATATGGATTTAAAGCTTCATAAAAATATTTATCTTCATAGGGTAGCATATGAAAGCAGCGATCTTTGACCACTTCTTCTTCAAATCTTATATCTGTGCTGATTTTTTTCAGGTAATCTTTTTGTACTGGTTCATCTTTAAGCTGATTTGTACGAAATACAACCGATGTTGGTTCCCGACCTCCTCTGCGGGCGATCATGAGATCCAAGGAGGTGGTAGTGTCCTCCGATCCCAGCTGGGGGATCTTGACCTTGTCCGCACATGCAAACAGAGACGGGGTATTCGTTCTTATCCTGCTTTGACGCATCATGTTTGTAGATTACTTTTTGTCGTGTCAAAATGGGAATACTGCAAATCAAAGACAATTTGATTTAAAGATATACAGAACTGTATATTAATATACAAAATTTATTCAAAGACTTTATTTCTATGTATATATTAATATTAATGATTATAAGTGCATGGTTTGTTACTTAGGAGCCAACCCCCTAATTGAACAATCTAATTGAGCAGATCACTCATTGCACTATATTACGATGTACAATGTGAGATCAGATTAGGTTGGTAAACAGATATCTTGTAGATGTAGATGTGGTTTGTCCGGAAATCAGCACTTTCTGCATATAGGTCAAATTCAACCATCTGTCAATTAAACCACATTACATTGTTGCATTCCATCATAATTATATCGCAAGAGTAAAAACTATTTCAGTATAAGATACTTTTAGCCTGAGCTATAAGTCACCTAGCTATGAATTGAATTAGATTTGTACTAGTCCGAATTATTCTGATGTTTTATCAACTTTTTTTATATCGATCTGTCGTCGATTAACGTCAGAACTCCGGCCCTCTATAATATGCGGGAAATAAGCGACCCGCGCCTGGGTGGCTCTTCAAACTGATATTTTAGTAACAAATCGTCACTTTTACACACATGTCGCACATGGATCGAAAGATCTATTCTTCATGCACAAGATGAACATAAATTACATGCCTCAAACAACCAAAACAATCACTAAAAACATATTTTTTCAAACTTATTCTGTTTTACTTTACGTTTTTAATTGACGACAGACCGATATAAAAAAAGTTGATAAAACATCAGAATAATTTGGACTAGATTTGTATATATATACAAATCATCTAAGTTGCTAGAGTTAATAAATATATCATATGAGTTAATCCTGTTTGAAAATTAAAATAATACTAACTTAGTTATATTAAAATAGCGCAAGAAAACATTTAAACAATGTTCAAAGGATTCTTATTGAAGATAGAGACTTTAAAACGTAAGCTTCAGCATGTCTGGCTTAAAACGAAGTAATTAACAAAGAATGTAAAGGAAAAATTATAAAAATAGCAGTGTACATTTTGAACACATGTGTAACTCGCTATGTCAACCAGGATGCACTGTGTCTGGTTAGATGTGCACTTAATACAAACATCACTGCATTTGAGAATGAAATCTGATTTCTTTTTAAACACAGAACAAATCTGCATGTACAGTACAATGATTTTTGTTACGGCGAGCACCTGTTACTTACGTTGTAAGTCCTTTAAAGCAAAAACAGTGAACAAGGAAAATTAAAAGACCTATCCAGGAACACTGTAAAATGGTACTGAGCTAATACGTAATAACGTTACAGGATATGTAAAACACCGTTTTACGCGATGTGGTGTTTCACGCGATCATGCAGTGTCGATTCACACTTTCCCAACCTTTCATTTTTATGTGCCGCAATATTGGATTTACCTAATTATATAGAATTTATCAGGATAGCAAACAATACATAATTGATGAATGGGCAATTGACAGCGTACTTATTTTGTAATAATAATCAGTCAGGGACCATCTGTTGCATGAACTTACTGTAAATATCACATCATTCCATTGTATGGCACGTACAATGCATGTCTCAACTAGAATGCTGCAAAAGCGAACTGGCTGTTATACCCGGGTATTATTTAGTCTTAACCCGGGTCTTTATTATCCATTATCGCACGTAAAATACATATTCATGTGTTTAACAGCTCGAACACCGCCATATTGTTTCTTCGTTTCTATGACAGATCAGTGTCGGTGAAATGTTTAATTATTTTCAAGGGAGGTAACTCTTACGGTTCTGAGCAGCCACCTACTCCCATAACATGAGAGGCCGCTGGTCGGCCTTTTTTCAATCGGATATGGTTACGCGGCGTCTGTCAAAAGTTTTTCGCCGTGTAAAACCTCTTACATTGTTGGAGTAAGCAGCCACCGAGCGCAATCCCCAATTCCACAATAATATTGTTTTTAGAAATTAAAGAACCTGCTCAAAATAGACTGGATTCACACGACGAATTAGCAATCAGTCTTGAAGTAAATATATAAAGAGACAAAGATAACGCTTTGCATCCAGTTGTACCGCGGAAAACAACTTCTGATTCTGATCGTATAATTTTCCATTTTTTTAACGCCATACAATTTGAATACAATAAAAGTTGTGGTATACACTGTATATTGTGCCAATGCCCAGGCGTTTTATTATTCTCCGTTTTACGAAGTTATTGTGGGGACTGTCTATACACATTCAGGATAAAATGTTAGTTTCATATCTGGGCTGATATGGATACAAAAATCATCAATGATGCAGCTACATATATGTATATCTGTAATTTAAAAAAAATATGTAAGTGCTACATATCAATATTTGCATCAATAATGCAGCTGGAGGCGATGTACTGAACACATGCAAGTTGCGGATGCTGATTTTTATCACACATTCACGCTTTAGTGACTATCTTAATGTTCCCTCGTGCACAATTAAAAAAATTGCTTAAGTTCATGTCTGGGTATACTCCTCCCAGAGACCTATACGCTCCCATCAAAAGCATTTATAGGAGGAAGTCATTTCGGATTTATATTAAAGTACTACATTGATCAAGAAATACCTAGGTGAATCAATGCCCCAGATTGTATTACAATATAATAATATTTTGTTTGTGATTGAATATTTTGTTTGTGATTAAATCAAAATGAATGTTATCATGGACAAGGATTTTACAATATAACAAAACAGAGTAGACATGATACCAATATATTATATGCAAGTATTAGATATTCATTGGCATGCGCTGATAAAAAAGTTGTAAGATGCAATGCATAGTATGATGTATCATGAAATGCATGAAGTTCGATGATTACGAGAGGTATACTACCTATTTTTACTTTTTAAGTTGAATTATTCAGCAAATAAGTGAAGAATTTCAATTATATACCCCCTCTCCACTACTGTTTCTCGGGCTATTGTGTATAATGTTAAAACATGAATAAAGAAAAAATTGCACATGAATGAGTATGACCGGAATAAACAAAGTAAAATTTAATTATTTTGTACGTTGGTTTGTATATTTCCCTATAATGAATGTCATGCACCGATCAACGTATATGTAAGTGACATTAGAAATGTATTGTATGTAAACACTGTACACTGTGACCGGTTTATTATGATAGTAAAGTCATTGTCATTTGCAACAAACAGTACTGGGGGGGGGGGGGGGGGGGGGGGAGAACGAAATAAAGACGTCTATGTACATATACATATTAACTGGCTTATAAGAATTGAAAGAAAACTATTCTATGATGGGCTAGTGAGTGTACATACAATAGATAGACGTAGGTTAATGTTGTAAGGCAGCAAAAAAAGCGAATGAGTATTATTTATTGTGTGTGCTTTAGCCGCAGGGTCTTCCCATCCTCAGATAGCACATTACGCGATGTTCTATATCTGGGTAATAGAAGGCTATCAAACATGATAAAAGGATGCACGTCTGGTCTTCCACAGGTAAGAGCGACCCCTTGAAGGAAAGTTGCACCACCTGGACTAAAATATCAATGTGTAAACAGTATTTGTAAATTAACGTAATAATAAAATCTTTAATCTGTGACTGAGTGAGATCGGATTAGCTCAGTCGTAGGCCAAGATTCTGCAAAATAATCCAAACTGAGCCGCAAGCCGAGGTTGCCAATTTGGGATGTTACAACCAAAATCTTAACACGAGGCTGGGATCATCTGATCTCGTCCAGTTCAGTACAGATTAGTATTATCAGATTTTTTTTGTCGCGTACCTCATAAGTCTAGTTTTTAAAATATCTCATCCTTGTTTACGAGTATCATGTATGTGGTCTCGCTTTTATATGGCCTCCTCACTAATAAAGCTAAGTTTAATAGTTTCTCTGTAAACAATGTTGTCCTTTGATAATGCAAGTGGAAAACATGTTTCACAGTAGATATGCTATTGCGAATTCTACCACGTCTGCAAATGTAACGACAATTATACTATCTTCCAAAAAGCCATGCACGTGCAATATGCTTTTCAAGAAACTTCACCCATTTTGCAAATGCAAAGAAGCGAGCCGTTAGACTAGTTTCTTTTCGAGTTAGGGTACACACATATATTTTTGTATTTTTGAAGTACACACGTATTCAGTGTTTCCCAACAATTTTTATAACGCTTGGTTAAAGTTAGTCTTTATTTATATCGTCACAGCCGATATAGAAACCAAACGGTGACTGTTAAAGAAGCCTGTGGGTTGTGCAGACCTAACATTGGAGACAGGGTCCTCATCCTTCACCCACAGTCATACAAATACTCAACTGACTTGCTCAAGAGTGAAGGGTCGCGTTCAGACAGCGAGATACGATACATCTTATTGGTGTTTTTTTTATCATTTCTCCTACAAGTACGTGTATATAATGACAAAGTATCAGATTATGAAGAATGTCTAATCATTGTCTAATCAGTCTCAAATATTACCAGGTTAAACAAGTAAAATACGACAGTTGCAAACAGTGTCAGAAATGCTGAAAACGCACTGGTTATTGTGCAATGAAGACAAACGCATCATGTGAATAATGTTTGCACGTGCACAAGAACAGCCGAAATATAGCACAAGGCATTAAGTGGGATATCTCTGTCTGCGGTGCGAGAAGAGATGGGGTGGGTGTGGGTGTGGGGGGTGGGGGGTG